GACGGCCAATGACCCTGAGGATGAGAGGGGGGTGGTGGAGTGCGGCGGCTGTAAGAACTCTTATCACTTTGACTGTATTGAGGACAAGAAGAGCAGGGACTGCGGAAGGCGGCGGGGGCTGCTGCGAGCAGCGAGACAACGCAGTGGTTTTGCCGCCGCGACTCCAAGAGCGAGGCAAAGAAGTAGGTACGGATGGAAGAAGAGAGGGAAAGGGACGGAATGGACTTATATTTCAATAATTCAACGATAATTAAATAGTTCAGATTGGTTGTTGTTCATCCTCATTCCTGTCTCCATTCGATTTTGCTCTGCTTGCACTTTCTCGTCGCTTTTAAGCCCGCCGCCCGGCCCATCGGACACCACGTCCACAGTTGTCGTTCGCAAGTGCGGAAACGCCCTCTTATCCATTCCCATACCTCAAGACCCGCTCCCAAAAACTCGAACGAACTCTTAACTCCCTTTTTTTGACATCCAAACAGATCCGGTGGGAAGGTCTTTTGGGATACCTCGGATTGGTGGGTGGCCTGGCCATAAGTCATCGGATCATTTCTTGGGGGCCCAGCCTTCTATCGCCGCTCTTGAAAATCAATTCCTACTCGCCGGCCACCCCACACCATCATTTCATTCATAGGGACATACGCCTTGCGGTTGGAACACATTTCCCCCCATCACTGATCGCGAAAGACATTTTTCCGATTGTACCGGAACGTGAGGCTTCGGCAGTCTGTCTGTGTCAGTCGTAATTTTGAGTTTTTACTGCTTTCAGAAGCTCCCTGATGTCCAAACCCGCCATCTATCAGTACGTGTCGGTGTATCGACGATGGCTTCTTGCTTAATTGGACTCTGCCCGCGCACACAAATGAACAGGCTGCATCTCTTGAAAGTGAAAGAAGGTCGCCGTTCCTTTCTGTTGCTGCCTCACGGATTCTTGTGACAGTCTACCTGTCCACATATTATTTCCATGTTGGAAATTTACCTTTCCCTTGTCCGCAATGCTGCCTCGGTCGTCAAAAGCACACTACCCTCTACGCACATCTTGCGGAGCCCTCTTTGCAATCTCGCCTCCACGGAATCCCTCCTGCATTTGCAAATATCGATGTATCCCCTGATCGACCTGATAATCGCTCCTTTGCAGCTCGTAGCGGGAGTGTCCGGAGGCATCGGGGGCGTGTTCGACCTGATACTCGCCTTGCAACAATGGCGACGCACGAAAGCATGGTCCACAGGGACACAACATATGGAATCTCGCACATATGGTAGAGAACTGCGGGACATGCGGGCAAGGGCGGAGAAAGAGGTGGAGAAAGCCCGGGATCGGGTGACGGATGCGTGTTTTCGTATCATTTTTGGCCTCTTTTTCTACGTCTTCTTCCTTAGCACTTTGCAAAAAGCGGACGAGAGGATGATTCAGTGGACGTTATTCCTGATGGAAGTGGCAGCGTTGGCCTGCCTTGTGAGGGGGGCGCAGAGCGTCCTGGCGCGTCGCGAACGAGCTTTACATCTTCTTTCTCTCAATCCAGCGGACCTACTTTCCGCCTTGAGCCAATTGGAAAATGGGTCAACGGCCTTTTTGCCTCATGAGCTGATGGACTTCGCCGAAAATCGCCTCGTTTTCACGTGGGATAATCCGCAACCCTACCACCCTTACGCCCTACTCTCGGACTTGGAGCATCTTCACTCCGCGTACACCCGTTTTCACGGTGTCCTGTCGCGTTTCAAAACCGGGAAAGACTCGGATGCGGAGGTTGATGTCCGCGAAATGCTCCATCGGATGCAGAGGCAGGCCCGGGCCCTCCTCTCCCTTTGCGCCATGGACGCCCTCGTCCTCCTCTTCAACGCCGTCGCCTTCCTTGGATATCTATTCTTCCCCCTTGTCTGGCTCTTCCCGGACGAGGCTTGGTACCACAGGGCTTTCTCGGGGCGACTGTTGATCTACCCTGGCCATGCCTTTATCTTGGACCGAGGGGCCTTCATCGGAGACGTCATGTGGACCTTGGAGCCGGCCTGTCTCCTTGCTGCCAGCCTGATCCGACGGACAGTGGAGACCCGTCTGATGCCTCCGGAGCCCGAATTTAATACTCGCACGTCGGACGTAAATAGGTACGCGAGACCGAAAGTGGGAGAAGGAGCAAAATGGCATGAGGAAAGGACGCAGGGGGCCGAGTGCGTGAGAATGAGGAACAGTAGCCGAGCGAGAAAGAAAAAAGGAGAAGAAAAGGATCTTGAAAGTGAGCTTGGGTCGAACAAGAAGGGAGACTTGAGTAAGCGAAGGGTCCTCCACGAAAGGAGGAAAGGAGAACGGGGGTCGCTCGATAGTAGAGATGGGGAGACGCACGGGAAGGTGAATGGAGGCGGGAGAACAAGAGAGCCGCGCGTCTCTGCAGTGAAAGGCCCATTATCGTCTGTTTCCACTCGAACGCGTGCGCGACTGAGTATGCACGGACAGAAAGGGCCAGAGCTATAAGTTCCTCCGGCTCTTACCCATTCCACTCGTACGAGAAGTAAACGAGGGGACAGGGAGTAGCGCTAGCCGCGGAACGAGCGATCCCGAAAAGAAATTTTTGTGTATGGATGGACGATAATTGGTTAAAAAGACAAATCTGTGTGCGGAAGAATTTGTGTGAGTTCCTGGTTTGAGGGCCAAGTGCCCGCTTGTGAAGAAAGCTGTCAGTATCGATTCGGATGCCACTTCTTTTTTTCTTTTCCCTTTAAAGAAGGGCAGCGCATGTATTATTGTAGTGTTGTAGCGGTGATAAATGTGATAAGATGGATGGGAAAGCATCAAAAAGTGCCATGGTCACATAGCGCGAGCACTCGAGCTGCCTGTCATCTCATCAGTTATGTGATCTTCCCCCCCGTTGTTTCGTTCAAGCAGAGAAGAAATCCCAGCTCCTGACAGTAGCTCACAAATAACAATCCTTCATGCAGCAGAAAGAGCATTTATAACACGCTACGTCTCCGAAAAAACCTGACATTAACGAACAACACCAACAAACAAAGGAAAAGCACGAGTCGAAAGGACGATCGTGGGGGCATCCAGCTTGGGACGTGTCCAAACCCGCTGGCGTGTATGTCTTTCTGTGCGTCTGTGTCCACCAGCCTCAGGCATGCCTGAATTCCATGGCAATCGTGGGCCCACTGACAACACTGACAAGATCTGATTGTAAGAATTGCACAAGACAGCCCATTTCTTTGTCCTGAAGCGAAGTTACGTATTTATCAATTTGCAGAATGGTGATCACATCCTGTCCCAGCGGCCAGGGACAGCCGCGCCCTGCCCCGTGGCTGACGGGTGCGTCGCGTACGCTGGCAAGAAAGCTCAGGGCACCGGGACTGAGAAGTTTCTCATGGCATGAGGAGCCTTGGCATAGAAGTCATTGGGTGTCATAGTGGAAGAATGGGCGTTGAAGCGTACCATGCGCTGCAGGTGCGCGTGGGTGTGCGTGCGTCGGTGATAGATCTCAAACACCCCAGGCAGAAGACCGGCTTCGAAAAAGATCATTTTGTGGCCGAGTCGGACGCGGCGACATTGCTTGTCAACCATGAGGACATTGACTTGGCAAAACAAAGAGCTACGCGCTTCTATCGTGGGTCATGGAGGGCAAAGCCGTGGGAGTTGGCTGCGCGGCTTCCGTGCACTTAAAGCTGCTTGCTGACGGTCTGCTTCCTATACGCATGCGGCGTCATTACCTTTGGCCCGTCTCCACCTTCTACTCCGCTACAGTTGTCAATTACTCACCTTTCTCACCCACATTCCCCCACAACGATTCAGACAAAGAGGAGCAGCCGCGCCCCTGGAGTCTACATGAAAGCCTAGACTTGGTCAGACAACATCAGCGTCTCTTCACCTCCCTCTTGCAGCTCCTGCCCCCGCGTCGCAAGGCCCTATTTTGTGGATCAGACTTCTCCCTGGTGACAGATCACAGCACCTCACGCGGCACACACTGAAAAAGAGATGCGACGTCAGGTTGGGCTGTCCACTGCCTTGTGCTGTTGCCTGTTGGCCAGCGTAATAGATCAGAGCACAGGTACGTGGCAATAAACGAGTATGCCTGAAGCTCCTTGATAAAGTTTGTATGCATGCTTTTAGGGTAGCAAGAACGCTTGTGATACTCGTTTTCTCCCACCGATGTCGCTGCGCCCACTTAATATCTCCTGGCCCGACCTTAGGTGCCCTTCCTCCCTCTCTCTTCGCTGTCTGTCCTCTGACCTCGCTGTTGTTTCCGTATTTTTCTATGAACCAATACAGGAGCAGGAGAAAGAACAAGGAGGAGCTTTTCATCGGCAGCATTTGCGCCACCAATACGGCCGACTTCCTCCCCTGTTCCTCCGCCCTCCCAGCCCTCCTCCGCCACTCCCTCCACCCCCCCCTCGTCCCCCATCGTCTCTAGCGCAGGCGCTTCCACTTCAAGAAGAGGCGAAAGAAGATCCTTCATGTCTTCTTCCACGCTGGCGTTGAGCCCTCCTGTCTCCTCTACCACCACCAGCAGTACCAGTAGCAGCAGTAGCACCGTCAGTAGCAGCGGCAGCAGCAGTCCTGTGTTGGAGCCTGAGCAGGCCATCGCCTTATCTGCCCAAGTGGACGGACCGATCTCATCCCAGCCTTCTCCGTCCTCCTCCCTCTCCTCCCCCCCCGCCCCTTCCTCTCCCTCCACCGCTTCCTCCTCTTCACCCTCCGCCCCTCCCACCATGACTATGGATCCTTTCCGGCCTGCCCGTGCCGCCGTCGATCCGGTCGTCATCAACATCCTTGTCACTATTCTCTCCTCCTCTGCCGCCTCCTCCCCGCCCTCCACCCTCGCAGACGCGGAGAGAATCGCCAACAAGGCCATCCGAAAGCGCATGCGCACGGATGCCCCGGAGACCGCTTTGACTGCGGAGGAACGTCGCTTGATCTATGCCCGTGTTTACGGTGTGGAGGTCTTGCGTGCCCGGCTTTCTTTCCTCTTGGAACACGCCGTGGCGCAATCCAGTCTGGTGGGCCGACGTTTTGGGCCGACGTTGGCGGACTTCGGCCTTCCCATGGACGCGTCCGGGGACCCGATGCTGGTGGTGAACCGGGCGGAGTGCCTGTTGGCCTTGTACATGCTGACCGAGGAGGTGGACGGGGAGGGACGGCCGCCGCGGGTGGACTTTTTGGACTCGGACCGGCTCGAGGTGTTGGGGGCGGTGAGTCGGGAAGGGATGACGGAGGGGGAACGAGAAGCCCTGTTCGACCAGGTGGACGACCCGTCGGAGAGATTGGCCGCGCGCCGCTCCCTCCCGTCCTGGCTGGCAGCTCGTTTCCTGGAACAGTTGGGCAAGGAGGGGGCGGAAGCCTTGGCCCTGGCGTTGAACCGAAAACCCCCGACCACTTTGCGGGTGAACACACTCAAGACGAGCCGGGAGAAAGTAGTCCAGGAGCTCAAGAAGCGCGGCGTACCTGCCGCCGCCACCAAGTATTCCCCCTGGGGCGTGACGGTCGGGGACGTGGAAGGGGGTTTCCGTGTCTTCGAGCAGGACATGTACAAGCTTGGCTATGTGGACCTGATCAACGAGGCGAGCCAGTGCGTGGCGCTGTCGACGGGGGCGAAACCCTACGACATCGTCCTCCTGTACGGAGCCCGGAAGGGCGCAAAAGCCCTGGCTTTGGGGAGCATGCTGCGGGGCAACGGGATGATCTACTTGTGGGAGCCTTACTTGCGGCAACACTACCAACTTCGCGAGGCCATCCGCCGGGGCCAGGCACAGGACTTGATGGAGGTGCTGCCCAACGTGATGGCGGCCATGCGGATCAAGGCGGACGTGGTGCTGGTCGATGCCCTCTGCAGCAACACGGGGGCCCTCTCCCACCATCCGTCCATGCGCTGGCTCAAGAATGAGACGCACATCTTGGAGACCTTAGTGCCCCAACAGCGTTCCGATCTGCAGAACGCTGCCCGGGCCGTGAGTCCCGGGGGGGTCTTGCTCTACAGCACCTGCTCCCTCCTCGCCTGCGAGAACCAGGAGGTGGTGGCCTGGTTTGAAAGCACATTCTCGGGGGAGTTTGAGCCCTTGCCCTTCGACAAGACGGGGGGACCGGGCGGGAACTGCCGGGCCCTGCTTCCCCACGTGCACGGGGTGGACGGCACCTTTATCGCCCGATGGCGGCGGAAGCTCGGGTCTGCGGGGGTAGTCTCGGGATGAGACGGAAACGTAGGAGAAAGCGTGGAGGGGAAGGGGGGGGGTGGTGGTGGTGTGGTGAGGTGACAGGCCTTTGATGATATGGCAAGATGACAGGAGGAAATCAAGGAGAGGAGGGGCGCGCCTGATCCATGGGCAGGGGAGGAGGCTGCCCGACCTCGCAGGGGGGGGGCGTGAGAAGGAGCATCAAGTCGCAAATACCGAGGAGTGCAGGCGTATGCTGGGTGAATCCGAGTGTATATGTCCCTGCGTGTTCAGTGAATGCTGTTCGTGGGAGTGGGACTCGGGGGGGGG